TTATGCTCTGCCTCATTCCCCCTCCACTCCAAAAGAAATGTTCATCGTTTGGGTAAACATTTCTACCGAGTCTATAATCATGTAGACAAATACAACTTCAAGAACCACAGTGTTTAGAGGTGTTAGGAGCATTTTAACACAAATCTTCCTATTCACTAGCCTTCAAAACACTAAATCCTATTGGGATGCCTAGAGGAGCCTGATAAGTGGAAAATAAATAATATAGAGGAAAATAAAACAAACATTGTATTTTCTGGATGTCACTGTGGTACATATCTGACATTAGAAATAGAAACTCACCTCTCGTGAAATCATTTTCTGTTTAACTGATGGCAACAATATGCAGCTCTATTCATTTCCAGAAGTATACTTATAAAATCAAAGGTCATATCTAGAGATCAAGTCTTTATTGTAAAATGTTGATGATGTAGAGTTTCATGTTTTAACAGATTTCATACCTGTCTCTCTTATGCCGAATGTAATATTCTGTATTTCTTATGCAATTAATTGAATAAGAGATCTAGTATTACTTTTATATTTTCTTTTTTTTTTCATTAAAAGCTACCCTGATGCATTTTTATATGTATGTTTTACTAAAATACAAAGTAAAGAAAAAATGACTGTGATATGAATTCCACAGAACATCAAGGAAGATGGCTTTAATGTTAATACTTACCTTTGAATGTTGCATAGTGGTTAAGAACTACAGCTGCTAACCAAAACATTGGCAGTTTGAATCCACCAGGCGCTCCTTGGAAACCCTACAGGGCAGTTCTGCTCTGTCCTATAGGGTCGCAATGAGTTGGAATCGACTCAACAGCAACGGGTTTTTTGTTTTTGTTTTTGTCAAAAAACTTTCACATACTTTACTCCATTCCATCCTTACAGCAGGTAATAAAGCACAGTGTAGAGTAGTCAGTCACAGAATGCTAAAGCTAATAAGAGCCCTCAAGGTCAGTTGCTCCAACCTTTATTTCACAGGTGAAAAAACTAAGATCCAAGGATGTTAGGTTGAATTGCCCAAAGTCTGTAGTTTTCTACTTTCTCCCATTGCCTTTTCTGCTCCATGCTTTGTTATCTCCATTTTTTAGACAATATAATGGTAGTCCCTCACACAAACATTCAGTGAACTGGAACCCAGATCCTTGCCGTGTAGGCTCATTTTATTCTAGTCTCCAAGTATCTGCTGGCTAATGGGCCATTCCTGTCCTATTTCTTAGTTTTCAGGAGAAAAAGATTTCTGTTAGTATCCAAAAACCAGTTGCCATACCTGTCGATTCCAATTCATTGTGACCCCATGTGTGACAGAGTAGAAGTATGCTCCATAGAGTTTTCAATGGCTGATTTTTCAATAGATCACCAGGCCTTTCTTCTGAGGCACCTCTGACTGGACTCAAACCTCCAACCTTTTGGATAGCAGCTGAGTGCATAACAGTTTACACCACCCAGAGGCTCCCTGTTCGTGTCACAGGGTACTAAAGATGCCTGGAAATGTATGGGTAAGATCTTCGGGATCGTTAATAACAGATTCAGGAAAAGAAATAAACATTCTGACTGCAATATTTTTTAACTGTTTCTACCAGGTACATAGTATATATTTAAGGAATATTGTCTGAATTGCATGAGACAGTAAAGAGTAGAGCGACAGACCTATTGTTTTATCTATGAAGATTGAAGACTATTGCTATGTTTTATAGAAGGATCACGTGGTCTAGTGAATAGAGAATGTGCTTAACAGTTAGAGAAACCTGCATTCCAAATTCAACTCTACCACTTAAAACTTTTGTGGCCTTGGGAAAGCTACTAACCTCCCTGAACTATAATTTTCTTTTCTGTAAATACCATCTACCTTACAGAGATTTTATGTGGATTAAATTAGACAACGTGTATATAGAGTAAGGCACACAGCAAACACCCAACAATTTTCCCTTCCCTGCCCTCTGTGTTTGTCCGGGAAGTGACTGGTAGCCTACTTCACTGCTCTGTTTGAGAGCTGGGGCATTAAAATCAAGTTGGTCTGGGTCTGGATATTTTACTGTTATTGGCACAGCCCTGGAAACGCGTCCAAAACAGCAGGGGGTCATGGCTTTATTTCACGGGCATGTGCTGCACGTGCAGTAGGTTGCATAATGGTGCAGTTTTCCTTTCCTTTCTTTCTTCTTTTTCTTACCAGTTCACTGATGCTAAATATGACAGTAGAAAAGGAAACACACAAGTGAAGGGGTCTTTGGCTAGTGAAATTTGCTTGTTTTGAAAAACATTTTTTACACTAACATGCTGTGGAACAATATTTAGTTTACTAAATGGCTTTGAATATTTTGCAGAGTAAATATTGTGGCTTTAATATATACAGAAGATATTACAGGGTTCACGCTCCACCTTTTTGAAACTTGTAGATTTCTAAAATCAATGATAATCCCATACTTAGTTTGTGGATCTAGACATTTATGTTTCACGTATTCAAAAACAGACTTTTTAGACCTGATGCTCTTGAATTCTTTTATGGAAATGTTAACATTTCATGATACATTTGTTTTATCATAAAATTTTTATAGTAAGCTTTTGAGACAAATTTTTAATATGGTTTTCAGATTACCTTTTAAGCCCGAAAATAAGAGAATGATAAAATCCCTGTATTGAAAAAAGTACAATTAATATTCAAAATAGCACTGTTCGCTACTATAAGACATTAACAGACCCCAAATGTCTGTGCTGTTCTTGGGAACTAGTGGCTGTAGATATCAACTCACTTGGTACCCAGATAATGGGTTCAATCCTCTCCTCAACCTATAAATTTATCAAGGTTAAAACAAAACCTTTGAAAATACAAGCCCTCCTCCCTTCCCCTAAACACACACATACTGCAGCCTAGAACTACTTACTTGCTCAGTGACTTTTCTAAAGGAAAATTAAGGTTTTGAGGTGGGAGGTGATAAGGAAGTTGGAGAAAGGCTAGAGATGGCACCAACAGAATAATAGTATTTCAATACGATACTAGTAAATATGAGAAAACTGGTTTTTGGTAACATGAACCATAAGTTTTTTCTAGATATTTAAAAAGTAAAGTCTCCAGGATATACTACAATTTTGACTGCTTCTCAGAGATGAAATTACTAAAGAAAGAGGGAACGAAACAGAACATTCGAGATTAGCAGGATAATTTATCTCTTAATAAATATTAATTAATATTAATATTGATTAAATAATATCAGCTCCTTAGAAAATGACTCTTCAAAGCTGGATGGTCTTTTAATTGATCAAAACAAAAACCATAGATGTGTTTATTGTGTGTCCGTATGTGTATATCTAGATCCATTCCTGTATTTCCTCAGATACACTATCAGCTCAGTTAATTAAAGAGGGTACTGACAGACTATTTAAAGCATGTATAAGTCTTTAACACCCTTTGACTTTAAGAAAAATGTATTACTCATATTCTTTTAGAAACGTTAACTGGCTAGCTACAAAATCAAGAATTAGGGTGGGAATAATCATCTACTAAGAATTAGAATTTATCATTCACAAGTGGTCAGGGAAGGATCAGCTCCTCCACACTGCCATTTTTTTATATTAATAAGAAAAAAATGATATCATCACTTCACTTTCAGGTATCATTGGGCATTCAGATTTTCTGGCGATGGTAATTTGAATCATCTAGTCCAAACAGTGAGAGGAAGAAAGAAACTACACAAACAGCCAATGAGCAAATAATTTTATCTCCAAATCACACTGCAAACGTAATATATAATTAATATGTTGGCAGAAAAGAATCATAGAATAATAAACTAGAAAATTATAAGACAAATGTTCATTGAATTATTTTTGATTTCTCAATGTCATACATTCTTTTTCAAGTTACCACACCCACCGTCAGATATTTTTTGAATTAAAAAGAAGACACGTCTTACAAGCACACACAGTGGACCATCTAAAATGTGGCTTTTAATGTGTTACAATTTTTTTTTCACTTTTAAGCAGTGATTTTAAAATGTCAAAGCACTACAACGCAAGGAAAGAGAAATGGCTTATAACTGCTACCTTCCCACATTTTTGCATTAGGTCTAGGTTACAGAAGTTTTACCATCTTCACACTGGTTTCCCTCGCTTTGATTTCGGCACATGCATTTTGTGGGTTTTACATTCAGTAACAGTACACTTTGGGAGTCTGCTCTCATATTTGGAACTGATTCCCTACAGATACATTCTTTGAACATTCTATGCAGAAAGAATTTGATTGTTCATATTGAATATTTTCTTTTTTTGATCTCATTGCTCTGGCCTGTACAGACATTCAGTGGAACCCATGAAGGGAATACAGACAGCTGACTGGATGAAGAAGACATTGGGAAAAAAAAAAAAAAACTCCCATTGTTTAGATTTCTGTCAGAGGATATAAGAATACTTAATTTCTTTCATCTCTAGGGCTTTCATTATCATTTAAATTTCATTTTACATTAATTGATCAGGGATTAGTAAAGCCATTATGCAGAAATTAGAATAAGACAAGCCAGATGGAATGAATAATTCATGAAGTCCAATTACATTTTATTTCTGGTGTACTTTCAAACTTGCCTCTGACTTCTGTGCTATTTTGATGTGACAATATTCAATGAAAATCGTAAGTGCAATTTTAATTTATTGTATCCCCCTGGAATGGAAGCATTTGTACGCAATGGGGGTGCGTTAATACATTTTCCTCAAAAACGCCAATTTGAGGGCTCTTGGAAACACTGGGTGATCTAGAAAATAAGGTCCGTTTATTAGAGGGTGAGGGACTGGGTTCGGTCCAGAGTATTACAGTGAGCCACCAATTTACCTGTTTTTGGTAAACTGACCCTATATAAAGTAGCAGAGTCTTAGGACAGCGAAATTGTTACTTGCCAGAAAAGCTACTGTCTCCTTTAAAATATTTTTTCCAATTAGCCACCGCAAAGGATCTATTAATATATGAGTTTGGCCTAGAGTTGCACTGGAAACAGTGCCAGCCGTTGCAGCTATAGACAAGAACCACGAGGTGGCAGGCGTTGCCTTCAATGCGAAGGTCTCGGGGCTGCCGCGGCTGCCGAGCTTTCCAGACCATCTCCGGGGGTCTGATCCCGGCAGACCTCGGCTCGGTTCAGGTTCCGAGCGACTCAGCAAGCGTGGCTCGGCGAGAATTCCGAGCTAATGGGCAGTCCCGTCCACCTGTCTGGAATGTCTCCTACGACTGTGTCTGAAACTGCCCCCCCACCGTCCGCCTCAGCCCCCAGCCCTTCACCCCCCCCGCCACCCCCCCACCCCTCGGTGGAATTTATTTATGCCACTGGACAGTCCTAGTCACATTAAAGCTCCGCTTCACCTTTTCGAGGACTTTCATCTCGGGAAGTTTTATGACACTTTGTGAATGTGCAAAGTTTTTAATTAGGCTCCCTAGACAGCCCGAGGCGGCAGCAGCGCCACAAAGTCTTCACGGTCTCTCTGCTTTACAGCACAACAAGCCGCTCTACTCCTTTGAAGACAATGCAGACTATGTGTACGATGTCATGTGGTCCCCCGTGCATCCCGCGCTGTTTGCCTGCGTGGACGGGATGGGGCGCTTGGACCTCTGGAACCTCAACAATGACACCGAGGTGAGCGGTGGCGCAGGCGCCCGGGCCGGGAGGGCTGGGAAGGGAGTGCAGTCCAGCCTGTTTCTCCCTCTCTTTCAAAAACGGCCTTTTTTGGACAGACCCTCCAATGGCAGCCGACCTGCTGGCCCCCCATTCTTGACTGGCCTGAGGGGAATTTGCAGATGCATTTGCCAAAAATCATTTAATCTCACTTCATCCCAAAGCCGGGGCAGATCTTGGACAACTGATGACCCTTCTTTGCAAAGAGCAGAGCGATATGTGTTCGTGCCTTTTCCTATGGGAAAGGACACACAGGCATTTTTCAGAGCGTTATTGAAATGACTTTATTGGCAAATACTTGGAAAAGTAAGCTTTTGTAGACTCCGATTTTAGACTGGTCTCTTTAAAAGGATCGGTTGTCAGTGTTTGCTATTTGCACACTTTCTATTTTGAGTCCATAAAAGATTCTGTTGACTTTATTTTTATTTTTTTTTATGTTTAGATCTATCCTCCATTTGATTTTTACCAAGGTAAATATTCCTTGTCTAAAATATTGAACTCAAAGACAGACTTTTACAATAATTTTTAACTTTGAATATGTATATTAAACTCACTATTAAAAACAAAAAAACTGAGATTTGAACATACACATTTAGAGTAGTTCCCAAGTGGAAAAATACACATTTTTTAAAAGTAACTGACAATGAGAAAATACCTGTGTTTTAAAAGGTATGTCATAATATGTTTTTAAAATTCGCCGTGTGTATTTTTACATTTTTCCCTCCCTCAAAATTACTGAGGTGCTAATTCAACTACTGGGGTAGAGGTGTTTTTGCTTTTTTTTTAAACATGAATATTAAATGTCCTTCAGTTCAGTCAAATGAAATGGTTTCTGTATCTTTTCCTGGTTTCTGATGTAGGGCAGCTCTCCATAAGTAAGAATGGACGGGTAAGAGGAACAAGTGCTGCAAACACTATGTCAAGTGGGGAACAAGATAAAGGTCTTTTGAAGTGTTTTGAGCAGGAAGAAGCTCAGCCTTTTTAGTTAGGAAGCCTACAGCTGGAGGATATGAGGACAAGCAGACGCCCCAGTATTTTCTGTGGGAGGGGGCAGGGAAATATCCTCAGGTTCTATTGTTGAGTCATTGTGTTTTGCAAGGGTATATACACCTATAACCCCTGCTCAATCGTTTGTTTGTTTTAAATCTTTCCATTTTAAGTCCATTTTTCTTTTAACTCCAAGAGCAATGTGACAGGTTTAAGAGTTATGTGATGAAGCATCTTTGAAAATAATCAAAACAGCTTGAGTACGTGATATGTCCATCGTTTTTGATGTTGAAATGTCTATGACATTATTCTCTTAACAGAAAGATATTACCCCACATTGTAATGGTTTCCCAAAGTCTTTCATCAATGTGGATTAAAATCGTATTGCTTCTGTTTGCTAGAAGAAACTCATTCACTTAAGGCAACCAAAAAACAAACGTTTTCTAGATAGACTTATGAAACCATTATATCAGACATCAGGCTTAGCAGAGGTGATGTTTAGGTGATACCCAACTATGATACATAGGAGGGGAGTCAGTGTTCTACAAACTCCTTAAAAATTCCTAGGGAACTGGTTTTGCTTTGTTTCTTATAATCTGGATTTTAGGTAAAACGAAATAATGTCTCAACATTGCCAAACATAATTTTTTCCCTTCTTTTTATAGGTATCAAGAAACAACCACGTAAAAGTTTTGTAGTTACATTTTTAAAGAATCATTGCTGGGGGCATACAAATCATTTAGTAAACATAATTCTGTTTTCACAATATGAGTCTGATTCAGATCCAGTAATGTGCTGGACAGTTTTTTAAAACCCTCAAATCATTTTTGCCTTCTAGCAGGTTGAGCAACATTTTTCAAATATTTGTCAGATTAGGAATTAGATTTGTTTAAAAAAAAAAAAAAAGAAGAACCTGAATTCCCAGTGACTTGTGCAGGAGTGTTTTGTTGTTCAAATTACTGCACTTTTAGACCTGATTATCCCGGCTGCTATTACACAAGGATAATTCAGACTTACCTCTCTCAGTTACTGACTTCTATTGCTTGATGTAGTCATTTATTCTGTATATATCCTGTTTTTGCAATTAAAATTATTGAGGCATTAAAAAAAAAATGTGGAAATGTTTGTGAAACTAAAATATGAGAGAGAATATATGACTTATTCTATCATACATTTACCAATTTTTGAAAGGTCAAATTAAAGCAAATGTATTTTGTCATTTCCTTCATTCATTCGATAATTTTTTTTTAGCACGTGCTATAAACAAAGCACTGTGATAGTCATTTTTTTTTTTACCATTTCTAGTATCTGTGAAAAGAATTTATTTTTAAAATGGTTAAAATATTGTTTCAGTTTGCTACATTTCTTGTATTCCAAATAAAGAAAAATCTAAAAAATGTATTATATATTATTTAAAATGTATCAAAAGGTCAGTTTGTTTTGAAAGATTAATTTTTTACTATGTTAAGATTACACATTTTTATTCAAGTTTTTAGGTTGTTCATAGATAAAATCTGATGTTGAATAAAGTTTAGTATGATCCTGTATGATCCTTCTAAATTTTGGAGTTAAAAATGAACTCTGAAGACTGTATACCTGAATCACAGATTTGTTTTCTGGACAGCACACTAATAATAAAGTGTATTGACAGAATTATGGCCCATCTAAATTCACATTGTTTCAGCCTTTGAAAGGTTTGGTTAAAAATTCAGGCTGTAGCATGCACAACAGGGTAACTTTATTGTAGAAATTGTGTATTTTTTAAAAAAATAAATGAGCCGGGGACTGTTGTTTTACATTTTTGCTCACAATTGACATACAGTGATTTAAGCTGGTGAAAGAATTTTTATTGATTGCAAGATTATGTTTATACATAGATTCTTAGATATGACGGAGTTTTTATTGCTATTTTAAAAATAAGTATTGAGTCAATAATCTCATACAAACAGATGGTTTCAATTGCCTGCATAACAGAATGCCAGGGGTGCTAAGTCACAGTACATGTCGTGTTTCCATCCTAATACGAGATGTTTATTAGACACAGGTCTGAAACAGTGGCATGAGGTGATCTCGGTGGCCCTCGTTTCAATATTTTTGTTTCTATTTTTGTTTTAGTATGTATTACCTTTTTCTTTTTGAATGGCCTGTTGTCATTTGCTATCCAACATTCTTACAGAAGGCTTGTTATAAAGTTACAGAGTTCCAACCTTGAAGACAAGAGTTTACACAGCTGACAATGGCAGAGGGGAAGAGGGGACAGGCACACTGAAATTCTTTTTCCAAAATACTGAGGTTCTTGTACCAAATACAAGGTTTTTCCTAGGTGCCATTTCAGCATCTCCCCCATTTTTCCTTTAATAATAATTAATATAATTATATACTTTTTCAGATTTCAAGGTGCTTATTAAAGAAGATGTAAGATACTTTCTACTAGTAGGTAGCTACATTTTATCAGGGATATCACCCCGGGGACATTGCCGAAAGTTAGCTACCACTTCCCAATGCCCTGGTACTGCCAGAGGGAGGAAAAACAGAGAGAAAAAAAAAAAAGACAGGAGAATTTGAATTTTTGAAGTTTCTCACCTGCATACTTTCTTTTCTTCTGATCAATCATCCCAACCCAGATGAGATTTTGGGGGATAAATACTTATGTGTTTTTTTTCTGAACATTCATATTAATACGATCTTTATTCCATCACACCCACCACTTCCTGCCTTTTATAGTATCCTTAATCTTAGTAAATCCTGAAATCTCTCTGTCCATCAATCTATAAATTATGACCTGATCGTAAAGTATCACATTTAGCTGCTGTGGTTGTATGTTGGATGTACTTACCCTGCATAATCCGAAGAAATATGTAGGCCACTCACCGCCCATTGACTGTGGAAAAAGGCTCTGCCTCGTTCCCTTTTTGTTAAAGTTTCTCTTCTCTCTACCCCTCAATTCAGCAGAGAATGTGATTTAAGGACAATGAATCCTTTTTTACCCCTGCCCAAGGGATGTACGTTACTTCATGCACATGAAGGAGTGCTGACTCATCCGGAGAAATGTATCATTGTACATTAGTATATTTCAATTCATTTTCAGAGATTCTTTTTTTCTATCGTAACCCTTTTGGCAGGTTCCAACAGCAAGTGTGGCCATCGAGGGGGCGTCTGCCCTAAACCGTGTTCGCTGGGCTCAAGCTGGAAAAGAAGTTGCCGTTGGGGACTCAGAAGGCCGCATTTGGATCTATGACGTTGGAGAGGTACATGTATATACATATATTTTTGACTTGTATATCTACTTCAAAGCTCTAGTGAAATTATTGACAAGACCTTGTGGGCCAGAACTGCCTTCTGCAGTGCGTTTGCAAATTTCTGTTGACTTCAGTGGGAGTTTGGCGAGACTTCGTTAGGGCCTAATTTGGTCTTCTGTCTCCATGCACTGGACACGTTAGTTAATGATCCAAGCCTCTTTTTAGAATGCTGTACAATTCCCAGCCATCCTGTGAGAAGCATGGCACTTTCCACCAATTTCATGAGAACAAAAACTTTGCCAAATACATCATGCTAACACTGAATCCGGAAGTTTTGTTTTTCAATTTGAAAAATGAAATTTTAGTTGGTATGCTAAATTAAAATATATATGATTCCTCTTTAATAAAAGAGTAGCCAAATAATAAGGCTGAGATGAATCAGAATTTTGCGCCATTTTCACGGTATGCAGAGGTTATTATGTGAGATATATAGCTATCTGGTATGTCTTATTGCATGAGATATAAAGTATGCCTGAATATCATGATAAATATCAAGAGAAAAAAACCTCTCTATCTTTTACTGAAAGTAAATCTCCTTGAATTTTTATACTAGCTTTGTTTCATATTAAATTATCAATCACACATAAGCGTATCTGTTTACTTTTATTATATGAGAAAGTGTTGACAAAAGCATTCATTTCTGATGATGTTAAAGAATGTTTTTCCTAAAAATAAAGAAAATATTGAACTTTCAAGCAAACCAAGTAAGAGTGTTGTATAATGCTGTTTTGGTATAATATGAATCTAACATTTGTGTTCCAGGAGAAAAATACACCACGTTTGTATGTATAATGTCCTAGACCTAAGAAGTGCTCTGTGAGTGCCTGGTGGATGGGTTTAGCTAATCACACTGAGAAGGGTGCATTGTGGTTTCATCAATCAGCATGCTATAAAATTTGGCATTCTTAGGTGGTTTGTTCTACAATGAAACTTTTGATGATACATTATACACTGCTGTATGGTAGAGCTGATTGTGTTGAAACATGCTGGATGATACTTTTTAAAAGTGAGCCAGAGGCAGAAGCTAAATGACTTTAGAGATGAGGAGCTTTCTATTCTGGGATGCACAGCTCTTAAGTAAAACAACAAGAAGAATCTCTTGGTTTTGCTGAACGTTATATATTTCATTAGATGCCCCTTTGACTGTCCCTACTGCCACACATTGAGTCATTCCAACAGTGACAAAGACTGTGTTAATATTGATCCCCAGTGGTGAAATTGTAAAGGTTCTGGTGACTGTTGACAGAGTTTGGAGTCTTTGGGAAAGAGAACGCTCCCCAAGCATAAAATATTGCCAATAGTTGTAGGGCAATATTTTCTTCCATGATTATTCTTTATATTTAATGCGTGTTTTTCATGGTCTTCAACATAAAACTGAACAATAACAGCAAAAACAAATACTCTTTATTTATTTCCTTAAAAAAAAAAAGCAAACGAAGAAGGAGAATATAAAGAATTAAACAAGGTGTCTCCTTTTTTTTTCCTCCCTCCCTTCCTTCCGTCCTTCAGTCCTTCCTTCCTTCCCTCTATCCTTCCATCTTCTGTCCTCCCTTCTCTTTCCTTTTTTCTTTCTCTTCTAAGAGGTGTAATTGTGGAAGAGAAATAGATGTGGAGACATGTTTAGAAATGAAATGGCCAAAAATAGATGAAATTTTCGAACTTTTTTTCCACTTTTCTTGCTTATACACAATCTCCCTTAACTGTCTTAAGATTATCTGCAGCATTAATTATTTTATCCCTCTTTGTTGTATCCCCAGAGGGCTAAAATACAGAATAGTTTAACTGTCTGGTTTATTTAAAGGAAAGGCTTTTTAAAAAATTATTTGTATTATAATATATATTTAATATGTAATATAAATTTATATTATAATACATATACACATACATCACATACATATACACATATACACCATCTTTATGCAATAAGAAACACAACGTGTATACAGAATTTTCTATAGTAAAGTGATTTTATAGCCTATGGACAGAATTGCTGGAATATGGCTCATATTTTGGGAGTACATATGATTTTTCAGAAGTTGCTTTGGCTTATATGCAACTACTAAAACTTCTTTCTAGGTTGCTATCGTCATTTCTAAATTGTAAAGTGTTGTTATACTCATATTTCCACTATCATACTGGCAGGTCAGGCTGGCTTTCATTTTTGTATTATTGCCCTTACTTTTCTAAGTGATATTATAGACTATAGAAATGTCTGCAACTATAGGCCAGTCTCGCCTATTGTCTGGAGTCTAGACAGGCTATAGAAATATCTTCGTGACATATAATAGGCCAAACAATTTGTAGAGTTGTTTATCCCTACAAATTCACTACCAGGAAAAAGAAAAAAAAAAAAAAAAAGGATATACTGCTTTATTGAAAGCAGGTAATATTATAATCTAGTCCTTTTCTGAATGACCACAAATCAAGGTAGGCTTATACACTTGAACGGTTCTTTCTGTATTGTTTGGTCATATACAAAGCAATCTATAGCTAAGAAAAACTCAGCTAACAAAATAATCTTTGTCTTAACTACTTTTTTTTTTCTAAATATTTTTGTATCTCAATACATTGATTTTACTTCTGGAGAAAAAAAATGGCTTTTCTCTTCGCTCACCTTTCTGCCCTATTCTAAATCTCTCAAGACCAAGTCTTGTAGAGCCACCACGTGCTAAAAGGAAAGATAACTTCCCTGCGGCTGAGGCTTAGGTGAAGCCTACTTCTGAGAGATGGTAGATCACTTCACTGGCAAATGCCAAGGTTATTGTAATTACTATTGTGTCACTCACCAGCCTAGAACTGACAAAGCATAACTGTACTTAGAAGACAAGGGCAGCATCCAAACAGTAACTCACAAGCCTTCCAAATCACCTAAACTGCAGAAAGCCATTCGGAGTGTTTTCACAGCAAACTGGCCTATTTAGAATTAGAGGTCCCATCTGAGGCTGGTGCACGACTGACAAAAGGGAAGGGCCTGGAGCAGGAAGGAATTTAAGAAGAAAAAAAAATACGGCATTGAGGAACAATTCGCCAGTAGAGTCTATTACCATTATCTGTATTCAGAATTGTTCCTCTGGTCCTCATTAAAACTATGCCCCTCACCAAGGTCACGCTGGCCTTTGGATGGAAAACCTTGCTTGTGGAACCTTCTAGGAAAGAAGGTGAAACACTTTTAGATAATAAGCCTTTTACTACAATCCATATAAGAAAATAAATGGTAGTTTTTAGAGTACACTTTGTCCATCCATTTTCCGTGGAACTTTGCTACATTGAATAATAGGTCCCTGTCTGTGGGGAGACATTTCATGCTCAGATTCTTCCAGTGTTGATTTGACTAAGACGTCTGTTAGGTGGGAGAGGATGACAAAGGCAGCAGGCTATCTTTGCCAAGGTCCTATATTCCGCAAGCAAGACTGGCTTCAGGGGGTTGCAGCCTGCGCTTAGGACAGCCCTGTGCTTGCTATAATGCTCCACCGTCATTGTCTTGCAATTGTTAAAAGCATTTTTCACGAGGGACCTTGCATTTTCATTTTGCGTTGGGCCCCACAAATTATGAAGCCAATCTTGTCCACAAGAATATTGATCTTAATACCACTCATGATGCATATCAGAAATAAAAAATTTTGGCCTTCACCTAGATCATTAGAAAGGAGAAATCTTTAGAAATTTGGTTAAAACGGAGTACATGCTGTATGGTCTTCTTATTACCTATTTCTACTTAAAACTACTTAAAAATGTTGATTGAGGGTAGCAATGATTTTTACGTTATGAACGTCATGAGGCCCAGAAAAAGAGAGCTGAAGCCGTACTGGAAATTCTAATTCCCCTCCCTGCCGCCCCATTCTGATTACATTGTATATTTAACTGAAAGTATAATATAATTTTGGGAAAGATTCCTAGGATGCTTATTATGATTGGAGGGGAGTAGGGTAGGCTTTCTCTGTCCATCCCATTGTGCAGACCTCCCTGATAAGAAAGACTTCTGTGACCACCAGTGGAGACGTCCTCATTCAGGTCCACATAGGTTTGCCTTCCTGTGAGACCTGGCACTCGACGAGAAGGGCACTACAGAAAGTGACTCTGGTGTCACCAGTCGCTAACAATCGTCTGCCTCATCTCCTGTCCCAGCTGAGGCTGCAGCTGCTGCAGGGAGTCCCAGCACAGTGCTGCCATGATCATGCCCTCCTCTATTATGTACAATTATCCTCCATGACTTCTAAGATGATGGCAGAGGGCAATGGCTTGAATCCAGATTTACTGATGCAATTTATTATGAACTTCTGAAGGGGTGAACAGAGGATTGTATATGAGCTCACTGAAACCACCAGATTGAGTTTGTCCATCCCCAACCCTCCTTCCCCCCCCCCTTTTCATTACATTTAAATCACAACGGCATGAGTAATATCTTGGGGCCTGTGACTAAGAATGTAAAATGTAAAAGAGCGACAATGTTTTGGGGTAGGTCACATGATGCTTTGTTTATATAGCACACATTTTTGGTTGTCTTATTTCAACATTGTATCTGCAGAGTATACTGTACACACTTATTTTCACAGATAGGGGTCTGTTTTCTTTGTAGAGCAGGTGCTCAACTCCATTAGCATAAATGGAAGTTATGTGAATCCAGCAAAAGACAGAGAAGATCCCTTTTTATGATCTGGCAATCATTTTAATTCTACTGGTGCATCTGAAAAGTTGCTTACATAGGCAGCGATGGCATGAACCATTTAAAATGTTTTGAGACCTAAAATAAAAAAATGAGCCTAGCTCCTGAATAAGTTTTGGGGACTTTTCTCTCCACACTGTGGGACGCAATCTACTTGTTTGGGTGCTATATGATCCCATTCAATTAATTGAAACATGGTAAGATAACAAGACATGACTTAACTACAAATATAGCCTGAAAAATGTTGAGTGTATCCGGCTTCAGTAGGCTCATAGAGAGCTGTTAA